ATTATCCGAAAACAATTTAAATAAACAAGGAATTTGCATTTGAACAGCAAGAAGTTTGGGATGTTTCAAGTATCTTAAACGTTTTTGTTTCACAATGATTTTTACAGCTTTGTTCTTCCTTCCTATCGATTTTCCTTGCACTTAAAGTGAAACTAAATAATTGCAAAAAAGTTTCGAAGGCTGTTGACTTGAATGTGTCATTAAAAAAATTGCAAGTAAGTCGCCGTAATAACACCCTCATTACAAGATCGATCCCAACCTTGAACTATGGGAATTTTATTCAGATTTCGATTGCAGAGGAAACCTAATCTTGATTAAATATAAACAAGCCGTACGGGGTTCATTAAAAGTCGAGTTATTATAAAATAGTGTGTCGCATTTGCATTTCCGCAGTTATACAGAAACTTACCGAGACAGAATGGATATTCTGGTGTTGCGAATAACTTTTAGTAACCAACTGCGGCATTTCAACCATCAAATATGGTTTTTCCTAACTAGATTTTCGATGAAGTTGGCTTCCAACACTGGAAAAAAGCTTTACGTACAAAATACACCGAAATAATTGGAAATAAACTGTGCATTAAATCGCTTGTCTTTTTATCTCCAGATGCGCACACAATGGAAAAACAATGTAAAGAATCGGACCGAAGTTCGAACATCTCCGATTTGAAGATCGACCTGCGAACTGGATCGTCCAACTCGAACGTCCACTGCGACATGGATTATATTCCAGGTGCGGAATCCGAAACGGGCAGCGAATCGGTCATCACCAGGATCGGCGTTCCATTGGCCGGTCCTGTGAACGTCAACAGTCAGGACATGTACCGATATTCTTCGGATTACACTGAACCGAATTTCCCGCCAAAGGTAAGGCAGACCCAAAGACAATCTTGGTGTGTTAACTGCAGTTTTTCGGCTTTTACTAATTATTTGCAAGGTTAATTGGGGGTGAGACGCAGAAGGTATGCAAAACTGTGTTTGATAGGCGGAAGCAAACAGTTTCGACTTTGTTAAATTCAAGGGAATGGTAGTGGAATCGATTGGTAAGTAGTAGCAGGGGCGGATCCTGTTGTCTATGAAATCAGAAAAATTATCGTCGTTTTGTGCAAGGGTGGCGTAAGATTATTACAAAATTTCATGTTTTCCGTCCCGTTTTGCATGTTTCTCGGAATCAAAATGAGCAAGAACGCTCGTTTTTACATCATTCCAAAGAGAACTAAATGGCCTTTTTAGAA